TGTTTCTTGTTTCTGGGCGGCTGCGCCCGCCATTAATGGCTGGCGGAGGAGTTGCAGGTAAGGTGGAATTTGAGGGAACGAAACGGTTGGAGGAAATAGCGGGTATGGGAAACCCTAGAGGACTGTTTTTTTATTTTTAGGGGAAAAAAGTTTTTATCTATTTATTTTTATTTACGGTAACATATTTCTTAAATAGAACATAATTAAAGTAATTTTTAAATTGGATATGTATATTTTAATTTTTTTAAGTACTTGCTAAGTTAGGCATGCATGATTTTTAGAAATTAAAATATTTATTAAAATGCATGCATTGTAGAAGTTAAAATGTTGTTATTTCTCATGTGATTTGGATGATATTAGGGGTGTAAGTGAGTCAAGTTGATTTATGAGCCGGCTTGAGCTCGGCTCGATAAGTGGCTCCCGGAACGAGGTCGGGGGGGGACTGGAAGCTCAAACTAGCCCTGACTCAACTAGCGTTAGCTCGTGAGCAAGCTTGTTTAAAAAAATATTATTATAAAATATTCAAAATATATTAAAATTCAACTCAAAATATATAAAATTTCAAAACTTCATCTTTATGGTATTAAAATTGTTTTAAAAAAATATTTTATATTGTGCTCAAAATATATAAAATTTCAAAACTTCATGTATTAAAATTGTTTTAAAAAAATATTTTATATTGTAAATTATGCGATTATTTATTAAATTAAAAATAGCAAGCAAAATTAACCCTTGTTCACCCATCATTTAGTGTTTAGGGTTTAGGCCCCCCCTCCGCCACCCCACCCCAACCCAAAAGCATTGTGAAGATGGAGACAATTGATGGTGAAGAGTGAGGACTCCATTCATAGAGTATTCAGTACATAAAAGAAAAAGAATAAGAATGTTTGGAGAGAAATAAACTGTAACTAGTGTGTAAAATATTAATAATGTGTGATTTACATACATTATTGCTTTACTTAAAATACTCCAATTATCTTCATTTTTTCTATTAGTTGCTTTATTATTGTGATAGAAACGAAGAACAAAAAGATCAGAAAAATTAGGAGAGAGAATGGGCTTGGAAGAAGGAGAGAAGAAGATAATAAGTACTTCACATTAAAATATCCAATTATTATGAATTTCACTCTAAATAGTATGTATATTAACTTGTAATCAGAATTGATTATTGAAGAACAACTCAAGAAGAAAGAATCATTGTAACATGTTGAAGAGAAACAAAAGAAGAGAGAGTCAGTGCAACGGGCTGCTGAAGGGCAAGTCAAGAAAAAATTATTGATCTATCTTGATGAAGATCCTTATAAGGCATGTTTTATGAGAATTAAATATTAATTTTTTTATGCAGTATAAGTTGATATTTTTTTTTTATTTTTGAAAATTATTAACAATTCAAAATGTTAATCAGACCAAACATGCTCAATTACAAGTTCAATTCCCTGCTAGAGATCTAATTCCGTCACATTGGGTTTACATAATTGATAGAAGTTCTAATGCTATGTAGATCTATAATGATAATATGTTTTGCTCATATTTTTAAATTTTTATTTTTTTTAGTTTAGTGATTATGAAAAGTAATTTTCAATCTCTTATCTGAAATGCGGAGATGATATCATTTTTGTAAAAAACAATATCCATTTGAGCAGGAATAATATTGATAAAGTGCTAAAAAAATCAATATTTGAGCGACACTCATGTGGATGCATTTCAACTAATGTTGATCGAGGATACTAAAATTTTTTCTGGTCTGGATGAATCATTTATTATGTTTCCAGTATGTTTTTGGTAAATATAAAATTCACATTTTAGTTGTACCTATTTGTTTATTTTAATTAAAAAAATTCTAATTTATTTGGATTTTATTTCTTTACAGTGTTATGGTAAATTAGGAAACTATGAGAAAGAAATTAAATTGTTTGTCCAATACTTAAATAAGATTACGGTAGCAAATTGTAAATATGTTATTCTCCCTATTATGGACAAACAACATTGGAAATTATTGATGGGCATTTTAGCTAAAAATGACTATTTTATAATTCATTGTCTAATGTGATGCATGTAACGATGACATCAAAAGGGGTAAGTTTGTAATTACAACTTACTCAAAATTCTCATATTAAATAAATATGAATTTTCTAATCTTATTAAAATAGATCAGACTTCTAAATAAAAATGTTGGTGATGTCTTCGACTCTCCTGTCACATAATGGCTTGTGCACGTGGTTGACAATACCCCACACCAGAATAACAATTTTGATTGTTGGATGTGCCTTTGTTAATATATAGAGGCCATCGTTTTCAAATCATAAAAAAAATTGAGGGACCATAAGGATAAAGATGAAAAAATGTCCATATTCGGGCTAATTTTGCTTACATGATATATTGCAATACAATCTAATAGCTTCATATGTAATATCTTTCATTTATAATGTAAATTTATGTACTATCATTCTTTTATTCTGTTTTGTAAATTTATCAAGCTGAGAAGGTAATTTATTATTCTTATAGTGAATTTGTGTAATACATTCTTTTATATTTTATTTATTTTGCAATTATCATTCTTTCATTCTCTAGTATAATTCTTTTATTTTGTAGTAGAGTTGCACTGAGATAAATTTCATAATGGCTGCACTGAGATAAATTTCATTGAAGGGTTAACTCAGTACAACCAATAAAACATGGTTGTACTGAGATATATTTCATAACAATACTTATCATGCAAGACTAAATTTACTTTGGGTACAACCGTGTTGTATCGGTTGTACTAAAACTATATCAAATTTTATAAAGGTGGTTAGTTAGCTTAGTACAACTGATACAACACGGTTGTGCTGAGCAAATTTTCTATTCTTCAATTATTAATCCTGCTGCTTTTCTTGATAATACTGTTTACCCTTGGTTTATGGGAAGATAAATAAATGATGTAAATTAATCAAAGAGATAACTCAGTACAACTGATAAAACATGGTTGTACTGAGATAAATTTTGTAACGGTGCTTATCATGCAAGACCAAATTTACATGCAACCTTTTGGGTACAACCGTATTGTATCAGTTGTATTGAAGCTATGCCAAATTTTATAAAAGGCGATTAGGTAGCTCAGGACAACCAATACAACACAATTTTACTGAGCAAATTTTATATTATCTAATTATTAATCATGTTGTTTCTGTTATTATTATTGTTTACCCTTTGTTTACGTGAAGGTAAATAAATGATGTAAATTCATCAAAGAGGTAACTCAGTGCAATCGATACAACACAATTATATTGAGATAAATTTCATAATGATAATTATCATGCAAGACCAATTTTACGTGTGATCTCTTCGGTACAACTATGTTGTATCGGTTGTACCGAAGTTATGCCAAATTTATAAACGTGGTTAGACAGCTCAGTAAAATCGATACAACATGGTTGTACTGAATAAATTTGAGAGTCTCCAGTTATTAATCCTATTGTTCGTGTTAGTATTACTATTTACCTTTGATTTACAGGAAGGTAAACAAATGATGTAAATTCATTAAATGGATAATTTAGTACAATTTATACAACATGATTGTACCGAGATAAATTTTCAAGTGATGTTTTTGTATGAATCAATAAATTTACATGCGATCTCTTTGGTACAAACTTGTTGTTTTAGTTGTTTAAAAGCCATTAAATTTTATAGAGACAGTTAGGTAGCTCAGGACAATAGATACAACAATGTTGTCTTGAGCAAATTTGCTATTCTCCATCCATTAATCCCACTGTTTATAATATTATTACTTCTTACCCTTGGTAAAATGTAAATATATTATCATAAATTCATTATTGGGGTAACTCAGTACAATCGATACAACATGATTGTAGTGAACAAAAATTCTTAATGATAGTTATGCATCAAATTTTATAAGTGTTGAGGTAACTTAGTACAATTATACTGTACACGGTTATAATAACAAACATTGTAGGTATCATAATATTAATCATGCGGTTCTATACAATTGTTTTATATCGGTGGTACCGATGAAAAAATAGTTCAAAAAATGGATGCTTACTCATAGTACAACAGATACAAGAATAATTCTTGAAGATAGTCATACTTTGATTCTATATACAATCAAACTCATCCAACCAATCATGTTTATTCTTTATTACAATATCTTAAAATTCCTTATTACAAAATCATAAGATTTTTTATCATATTATATTTGGGTTGTTATGCTTCATTACAACTAAAAATTCCTTCGTCTAATTATGTCCATTATCATCTCGGTGTAGAAAATGAATGGATTGTTTGTTCTTGAAGATGATTAGAATTCCTATTAATGTGGCTGTAACATTAGCACATGATAACAATACCTTGGAATAAAAATTAAAATTCTTGCAACGGGACCTCTGCTAAACATTGAGGCATGATAAATAGAGGAGTTGCAATTGAGGTGAGTTCCCATCACATAATAGTTCAATATCATATGATGAATTCTTCAAGGTCATTGAGTCAGCAGCGAAAAATAAAAATTACAACAAATTTTAAAACAACTAATATAAAAATTACTCATGTATATTTTTTTCTTCTCCATGTGAGATTTCAATCTCGCCTTAATAACACCCTTTGATCGTGTTTTGGTTGGGCCTTTTGTCTGCACATCATCATTCTCAGCAGTCTTTTTCCTCTTCATGGCCTTTGTTAATTGAGGTAAGTTCCCTTCACGTATTAGTTCAATATCGTCTAATAACTTCTCGAAGATGTCTAACATATATTGTTCTGCTTCTACGTACCTTGTGTTATGCAACTTATTTGATACAAATACTTCACTAATGTGATTACGAAATATAAGTGAAATGGAAGACCCACTACTTCCTTCAAACTCTCTAATTTTTTTATAAACAGTATCAAAGTAAATATTTTTCTTTGTATTATAGGACCACCTCATTAGCATATACTTTTCTAGTATTCTAACAAACTAATCCAATCATGTTCTTGACACAAAACCTTGATACAGTGTGAATAAAGTAATCCAATCATCTCAATTTTTTTGCAACTAAGAAGTAGTTTGATAGCCTTACTAGTGATCTGAAGCTTGATGGTAGGATCTAAGACAAATCTCCTACCGAGAC